GTGTTCTACAACAGAACCACAAAAATGAATAAAACATGGCCCTAGTCTTCAGGGAGTGTATGATGTTTTCTTTTGTTTTCTGCCCTTATCTAATGTTATTTCACCTGTTCACTTGCTTTTTACTCCATTGTATAGGCATCAATTGACAACTTGGGCTTAAATTCCAAGTGTGTCAAGCCATCTATGGGGGGAGTGTAACAGAATTAGCACTTGATTATGTTCTGAAGACAGATCTCCTGTGATCTGTTACTGGCCCTAGTAATTCAAACATTAATTCTGTTTCATAATCTCTGAAGACCTATTTAAGGATCAGTAAGATCTTCGAGCTATTGTGTGAATTGCACAGATGAAATCTTAGTGTGGAGGAAATTGACATTTTAAATATTTAATAAAAGAAAAATCCTGTTACATTTTAATTGCTTTGTTAAAGCCTGTTGTATCCATGCATTTGTCATCTCAATATCGGAAGTTTCATTAGTAGGAAGTAAGTCAAATATCTTGAGAAAGAAATGGAAACATGACTTTAAGTATCCACAAAGCACTAAACTAAACTCTTGGATAGGCATAGTCCCATCTCATCTTAGCATCCCTCGTTGGAGATCTGTTGGCTAACATTCAGCATGTACCTTTACCAGAACCAAACACACACAAAAATGTGCTGTCTAGCACAAATACATGGACAACTACACACTCTTTTCATGTTGAAACCCTCCCTCTGAAGAAGCATCATCACAGTCAGATCACCTCAGGGTGAAAGTTGTCCATGTTCTCTGTTCTCATCGGTACCTAACAGGTTTCATAGGGCCAGAACCTCAAATGGCATGAGGTTGTTGGGCTGATTCTAACACATCTTCCAGCACTGATCCCTTACATAATCCACCAGTAGTTTGGTTGGATTAATTAAAATTTGAAATACAAAGTTAATGCACAAAGTTAATGCTCAGATCACTCATATAAGCAGCTAAGTCTAGATTTTCTCTTTAAAATCTGACCTATAGAATAGTGCCGAAGTGATATCCAGGATGCCCAAACTAGAACTTTCAAAATATAGTTGTTATATAATAATAGTTAGGTTCTTTTAGCTTTGGCTGAATTCTACTTCCGAGCTTTAGCTTTGGTAATCTTCTAAATGTACAGTCTGTTTCATAATTTGTTTTTCAAATAAGCATATAATCTTTGCAATCTTAAAATCAAATTCATAATTCAAAAAGTTTTTAATTTGTCTAGATAAAAAGAACTCTGGCTAGCAGACCCCAGATTTATCCCTTTTAAAACAGGACTATTTGGTAGCTTCTGCTAAGCCTTCAGTCCCTTAGACCACAAAGAGTAGTTCCAGATAATTTTTGGTGACTAGGCTGACTACCATGTCCACATTTCTCACACCCAACGCTCCCGGTACTCCCCGTACATGTTTGGTCATTCATACCACAAAATGCATTCTTTCTTGGAACTGTTAGCATCCAAAGGGGATTGTTGAACTTGTGATTTCAAATACTGTCCCTAAAGGATTCCATTTCCTCTCTTCCAAAAGTAATTTTTAAAAAATGTACTGTAAATTGTTGAGGAACATAAAATACTTGTTTTATCCAATCTGTATATACATTAGATATTAAATTGTAAAAAGGTGAATTCCACTTTTAATTTAAGCGGAAAAAGAACTTTCCCATCAGTTTTGATAACGTTCAGCACTTAGCTGGTCTATATTTTTTGTATCTTTTTTTTTTAAGGTTTTATTTATTTTTTTGTGAGAGAGAGAGAGAATGAGCGGGGGGAGGGGTAGAGGGAGAGGGACAAGCAAACTCCCTGCTGAGCAGGGAGCCTGATGTGGGGCTTGATCCCAGGACCCTGAGATCATGACCTAAGCTAAAGTCAGACGCTAAACCGACTGAGCCACCCAGGCGCCCAAGTTTTTGTATCTTTAAAAATATATCTAAGACTCTTAAATACCTGCATATATTTAGGATAATTGTGAATTATGAAGTACAAGGTCCCTATCTTGGCTTTTTGTAGCTCTGTTGTTAGCTCTCAGACTAGGTTTATACTTCTGGAAAATCAGAAGTCAAAAGAATATAGTTGAGTCAGTAGTCATGAGTATCCCATGTCAGATAATCCAGGTTCAGAAAGAGGCATAAGCTTCATGTGGTAAGAATGTGCATATGTCTTGTCATGAATAACTTGTGTGAATACACAACAAGGGATGCTGAAATAGTCTTCGGCTGCCTGTCATTTGCTATTCTTATCCATTCTCCCCTTCTCCAAATATGGCATGCTACATAAAGGACAGAGTGTCATTTCTTCCATTTGTAAAATGAGCTCTACAAATGTTTATGCATGCGTGTACTTGTGCACACATGTGTTACAGGTATCCAGACCAGTACAGTCAGCTAATTTCTGAATGCCTAGCAGTGCAGATAAGGATTGTACAAAGTACATTATTAGTGTTGTTTACTCTAGAATAAAAGTCTTCTACTTTGAAGTGTGCTTTCTCTTTGAGATTACGGTCTTTGGTATTTTGTTGTTGTTGTTTTGATTTATTGATTCATCTGAGATAGCCACTGAAGGGTCTTTAGCATTTTATGAGGACTATTTCTACTAATAGTCTTAAAAGCTTGAAAGGCTGAGCATTTTAACTTAAACTATGTTTTCTGTCTGTACACTTATCCTACAGTGTAGCTGACTTAAATTGTTAGGCAAAACTAAAAAGATTCTTGATTGTTTTAATTATATAGGCCATGATTTCTGACCTCAGTTCAAATTCTGTTATCACTGAAGGAAGAAGCTCGCAGACCTCTGCCATTAAGGGGTTAAATTCTTTCATTAAATATGTTTATGAGGGGCCACAGCCATTTTGCCTGTACTGCTTGTTTTTTTTTTTTTTTTTACTTTCTAGTTCACTAATCAAATGTATGTTAGATTGATTATTGTAAAAGTATAAACCATAGAAAATTTGACAAGATAGATGTGTAAATTATCCTTCTGACAGAACTAATGATGCACTCCAAGCACCTTCTGTTTTCCAGCGCTTGGTGAGCAACTTCATTAAATATGCAATGGCTGTTGGGTGGCTTCTCAGACGATGGTTCAGCTCCTTGTGGAATTGCATTATTACTAGAGGTGTAAAACCAGGCAGACAAGCTAGCTGTTGGGCATCCTGCTGAGGTTCTAATGTGCTCCATCTTGTTGGAGCAGTTGTTTGCAGTCTTTTCAGGACAATTACATCCATAACCACAGGACACATTCAGTGAAACTATATTACAGATAATAGTGGAGACTAACATTGACTGCTCTTCACCTCTCTCTCGAGCTGCCTCAGTGTGGGTAGCTTATAATAATGCGACTTCTGTCACTCACAGAGTAGTTGCTTTTTTTTTTTTAATCCCTTGGAGCAAATCTGAAAATAACTGATTTGCAACTTTTTTGCTTAAAATGCTTAAAATCATAGGCTATTTGAGGTGAAAGAGTTCATAGATTCTAATCCCTTTGAAGATGACAAAACCAAGGCTAAAGCATTGTGGTGAGTTGTCCTTTAGAGAGATAGTAGGAGGACCAGGTGGAATATCTTTTTGGTGGTAGAGAGCTCATGAATAAGAATTTGTTTTGTTTGGCTTCCAGTTTTAGAGCTTCTTTTAAACAGTTTTTTTTTTCTTTTTGAATTTAAAATTTTTTTCTGCTGTATCTCATTTTTCCCCATCTTAATACCAGCAAACTTTTTTATTTCTAGAAGTCAAGCAGAAATACTTTGCTTTCTAAGGAAATCATGCTATAATTTTAATGACAATTCGATAGTTTCCTGGAGAACTAGACACAAAGATGGTTTGATTTGAGCCTGAAATGGTATTTAAGGTTCCAAATGGCAGATGCTGCAGTGTATCACTGCAGCCTGATAAATGAGATTGCATTTTAGAATGACAGGCTGAATACTTTAATGAAAGAAGGTTTCCATTTCTGTTGGCCAATTAAATCACTGTTGATGACTTTGGATCATTAATGAACATTTGTGGAAAATGACCATTTGAATTCAATTATTACAATAATACATTTGAAAAGTACTAAATACAAATAAGCCTATCTGTAAATTAAAATATTTATCCATTTTGCCACAGATGAATTAGCATATTGCTTTGCTTTTCTTAATGCCAAAGCAAGTTAACATTTCAAAACTTTTTTACAGTTTAAGTACATATCCTTTCTTATAAAAGGTATACTTAGGAAAGTTTGTTTTTTCCTTGGGTGCCCTTAAAAAGATAATTTATGCTGTGGATCATCATATTACTTCATTATTCTCAAATTAGCAAGAGCTAGAAACAAAGAAGGGGAACATTATACAATGTATAAAAGTAGAAGATTAAGTTTAAATTGGATTAGGATTTAGTGCCTAAAAAAATCTCTAATTCTGGAAAAACAGTAAGAAGAAAATAACCATTATTTGGGAACATGTAAATTTATTTAAAAGTAATATGAAAATAAAATGCAAATGAAAGTTTCATAACCACATTTTTTTCTTAAACCCATTAAAGGTTCAGATTTTCTTAATTATTTTAACTTTAAAATGTTTTATGGATGTATATATCCTGCCATTTTTGCTATAATATTCCCAACAAATTCATCTGGAGATGATGTTTTTCTTTAGTTAACTTCATTTTCTCTGAAACTTTGACGTGTTTTGGTGGTTAAGACAGGAGATGGGTTCATTTGAAAAGCATGTTTTTCTCATTTTGTTCTTTGTAAAGTGGGCCCCAGTTTCAGCCCAAGCTTCCTTCATCTCCGTTTCATAGTTTACAGAGAAAGGAGACGCTGTGGAGCTCAGGCTTCCCCTGGGAGTACATTGGGCTTAATGAGCTTGATAGTCTGGTGGGCTCAATAAATCAAATAAAGCAAAACATTTCTCATTTTTGAATAAAAACATTTATCACACAGTGTTTGTTCATTCATGGTCACAAGATTGATTGGTTCCTAGCATCATAGTGTATACTGAAGCATTTTTGATTTTGTTTTTCCAGTGGGCAAGTTACGGAAGCAGTGGCTAAAGGAAAGTATCTCTGATGTCGGCTTTGGGATGCTGAAGTCTGTCAAGGAATATGTGGACCCCAATAACATCTTTGGAAACAAAAACCTTTTATAAATCTATTACTGTTGTTACGAAAAATGTCACTTTTTTTTTTAAGTCTTCAACTATGGTTATACCAGTAATCAAATATATCATGGACTGTATTTCAGCAAGATTTTTTTTTGTTTGAAAATAAGTTGTTTCATTCTGTATTTGTTTTGTTTCTACATCTATGGATTGACAGATGGTATTCCTCAATCTCTCTCATTGTAGGTGCATCAGTTTACCGCCAATTGGTTGTCATTTCAAATTTTAGTCAGGCAGCACAAGGCTGCTAGTTATTATTTCAAAGGAAGATGCTGCCAGCTGGTCTGTATTGATGCTTCCCCTTGGGAACAAAGGCAGATTTTGGTGTCATCCAAATGACACCAAATGCTTATCTAGCCTCTTTTTAAAAGGGCTTTTCTGGGAAGCCGGTATCTAGGGAAGGATTCCGTTGAGGAGTGATTACACATTCTAGTGTGAGTAGGCCATTAAGGAGGGTACTCATGAAAGAACATAGGCAACCTGCTATTTAGGATACCTTCAGTTCTGTGAGGTGCTTGGCCTACATTTTTCTTTGAAATTAGTATGCAGTTACAGAACCTTAAATCAGTCTAAAAATTGTTGTTAGGGGACATGTTTTTGTTCTCCATGTTTCTGTTTCTACTGAGGTATGAGTTGTATGTGTATAACTGAAATAACCTCTTGTTATATCCTAGTTTCTTCATAATATGTTGTATAAGAAAAGCTGACTTATCACTCATTGTATGTGAAGAACAGGTTTACCATGAAATGAATGCCTTTATTCAGCTTAAGAGTCCTAATGTTTCTGATTTCACATTCTTGTTGCTAAGATGCAGAAGAAGCTGCAACAGAAGCAGAAGAAGGAAGCCTCCTTACACTTAATATCTCCAGTTCAAAGAATCGTTTGGCTAATGAAACACAGTTATCATTTAACTATTGAATTTGAAAACCTAAAGTTTCAATGACAAATTTTTTTTCATTAGCCCAAACAACATGATAAATTTTCATATAGAAGTAAAGTTTCAATTTAGTTTTTAATAGTGGTTTAACGCCTTTTTAAAATTACTGGTTTAACCTAAATTTTGAAAAAATGTAATGTATTAATACACATGCCATAATCAAAAGTTTGAAATATCATATTTCTTAAATAATAGGGAGAACGTTAATCACATTTAGCAAACATTTTTACATTCAAACCTGGATATTAAAATAAGTAAAATGATTACTTTGAATCACTGTCTGTCAAGGTTCATGGTTCACATTTTGGGATGGATTCTTTTCTTAATGCAATACCTAACTTTTGATAATTTTTTAAAATTAATACTTGATCAGATAATGTAAGTCAAAGTGCACACGATCCTTTAAAAGGACACACTGTCTGTCTATGTAGCAACGGCTCCAAAGTATTTTTGGGCAGTTTGATACCTTTTTTATCTGAAGTATACTTAACCAGAAAAGTAAAAATTTAAATGGACAAAATGGTATTTTTAAGACTTCAAAATGATAATTTTTAATAAAATTGGCCTGAAACTAATAAACTTAAAATCTGTAAGAAATCAAAATTAAATATCAGTTTAACAACAAAAACTAAATATTTATTTATTAGAAGCCACCTCTCTTCATTGGTGATTTATTTTTAATTGTAAAATTTCCAGCAGATCTTAGCTTTAAAAGCCCTTGCTATTTGAAATAGTTGGATGCTTGATGAGGAAATTACACTTGCCTCTAGAATTATAAAAATCTCAGCTTTATAAAATGCATCTATCTATTCATGAAGGTAATTTCTCTAACTGGTGATCAAAATGTAAAATTTAATACAGTACTAATATCTCACTGGAGTGTATACATGTTTCTGAGTAATTTTTTTAAATAAAATTTACAGATTCATAAGCAGATCCATTCCTTTGCACGTGATTGTTATAACATTTTTTCCCAGGGAGTTCAGATTTCAACAGCCTCAGAAATCTGTATTTGGTATTAGGAAACTATAAATGTCACAGCTGAAAGTTGTTGTGTTCACCGTTCTACATGAACCTTACGGAAATTAGTGATTTATGTCTTGGTTTTTCTTCTCCCATATATGCAGGACTCCCCAACCTTGATTTTATAGTGATGACTACATTCTGTTCTTGGTATCATTTCTACAGGGATTATTTTGAAACACATGAACACTCAACACCAGTGCTGTTTGACTCTGATTGAGTAAATCAGAAAGCCTTTTTCCCCACTCTCACACCTGCTTCTGAGAGATACCTCAGCATATACTTAGTTTCTGTGGAGAACTGGGTTCTTGATTATGCACAGAGGCACTTAAACCTTGCCTCATATTTCTGAAATATCTGAAAATGGCTTCATAAAAGTGAAAGCCTGGAGTACATTGTTTATGTGAGGCTTTTAAACTCACTTTGAATAAGTTTGTTTAAAATTTTAAAAGCTCATAACCTATTCGGTTTTTAGTACAGCATAAACATTGACTTGTCTTTCTTAAGTTAGTCATATTTCTAATGTTTGTTGATGTCACATTTGGGTTGAGGTTTTAGTGGGACTAGGAACTTGCTGCTAGTGAGAAGTGGCATTGAATACTAAAGACTCAATATGAACAGGCTTTATTGACCCTTAGAGACTGATGCCTTAATGTTTGGTGCAAAATATAGTGCATAAGTGAATTTCGTCTTATACTGAGTAACTTGAGCTTTTTTAGTTTAGTAAGAATTGTAGAAGCCACATGCTCATTGTGCCCAGCATTTTACCACAAAGAAAGGATTAAATTCTTTGCCCTTTGGAAGAATTGGGAGTTTACTTCCTAAATGCTTACATATTTAGTACTATTACTTAAGAGTTGTTTATGAAGCTGGACGCCTTCGTAAATGTAGTTGTGTTGATGTATTTTGGAAAATAAAAGCGCAATAAAGGATGAGTTTCCATCAATGTGTATACTGTGTCAGATACAGATGGTTGCAAGGAAACCTGGTTTTCAGAATATTCTCTTAGTAACTGCTAAGTCCTAGCTTACATTTTTGAGAATGCCTTTCTGCATGCTGGCTCCAGAGACTTTTCTTTGTCCTTTCCTTTTTTAGCTACAACTTCTTAACCAGAGCTGATCAAAGAAGCCCTGTAGTCCCAAGCTGAAGTGTGTAACCTCAGCTGTTCAAGTGGGGCTGGGTGTGGTTGAGCATCTATTCTGTGTAAGTGTAGAACACAGTTTTTATGGATTGATTCACAAGCTGCATATGCTGGCGCTTGAAGCAGCCACAATGGAATGCTGTGGAAAGTGTCTCTACATTTTAAGAAACACTGAGACAGGCATTAAGGACAGCTTGAATAGCTTTTCGTTTACCACTTAATCTTTGGCAACTTTGCTTTTAATTAGGGCTTAGCTCATGGTGGGAGAAAAGCTGAAAATAACAAGTGCTAGTTTCGGGTTGAAGAATCCAGAATCACCTTTGGCTTGACAAGTGATTGGAAGCGCGGCTTTGCTCAAGGCTCCAAATGAACCATATGTCAATATATTCATTGAATTCTTATTAATTTCAGTGTCCTGAAAAGGAAAGAATGTATACATTGATGCTGAAATTCAGAAAATGTAAAAGATTTTTTTTAACTATTGAATAGAGTTTCTGCTATGAAGGATGTAAGTTACTTGGCTTTCTGCTTCTTAAACCACAGTGTTTGTCTTTAGTGTGGAATTTGTGAAAAACTACTTGTAACACAACAGGTTACAGAAACGTATATTATTAATAAAATGCACCCAGGTCTAAGAGATTTTGTTTTCTTTAAAGGGAGTGGGAAGCTCATTGTTCTGTTTGCATATGGGGTTTTCTTTCAATTTTAGTTTTTCATCTTCATATTTCCACTGATTTGAAAACAAAATTTTATAATTTTATTAAAGACGCATAATCAAGCCCCTTTAGAATGTAGTTAGTTAGATATTATCACTAATTATTTTTTAAATCAATGTTACATTCCTAGGAGGTGTTTAGTCTCCCGTGAACCTGAAGCATTCCAATTTGAACCTAGGAAGATCCTCAAGAGAATGAGCACTGTGCTCTTCTAACCACAGCAATTCCTTAGCAAATGTAAGGACCATTGATATATGGAACACTCAAGCCAAAGAACCATCACAGAATAAGTAACTTGAGTTCTGTGAACATGAAAAGGTTTCTTTTTTTGGTTCCCAAAGGAGATTGTTTTATAACCCTTTTTTTCCCACAAGGAAGAAAAATAATACATTAAATATCATTAAGAACATTTTTCAGAGACTGAACTTCCAAATCTAAGAGGGAGAGAGAAGGAAAAGAAAAATGTTTTAGTGTGGATTTCTAAGCAGCACAAATACCTGTTTTTCAGGCATCTTACTCTTAGCAGTGTTCTCATGAACAACATGAGCACCCAATGAAACCTATTGTTTAACCCTTAAAGTAATCTTGTTCACATATCTGTAAAGGACATGAAATGCTTGTACTGGTATACAGTTTCTATAAATAATTATTTTTTTGGGCTTCGTAAGGAATATCCCCAAAAGTTCACAGTGCCTTGTTGGGATTTTTTTTTTTCCATGAAATAGCCATCGTTTAAAATGAGTGGGAGAGGATAAATAAGTCTTTAAAGACTGAGATTGTTTAGTAGTTCAGGGCTATTCCTCTTCAAGAATATGTCAGGAATTAAGTAGTTATATGTAGAAATACTGAAAATCCTTTCCACAGTGTGGGTTCGGATCATCTAGTCTGTTTCACTGATTATAATGGTGGACCTGTACTCCATATATCCATTCAGTTGATGGGATTTATATGTATTTTCATTCCTATTGTCCCATTTTAGTAGCCCTAAGATGTGGCTTAGTAGATGTGGCCTACTCACTCAGTCCCTGAGACACCCACTACATGCTTTTGGATGTTAGCTCACACAGCTCCCTGAGGAGCAGGGCCTGTGGGGGGAGGGGGTTTCTATTCCTTATATTGTGTGTCAGTCTTTTTTTCTGTGATGGTGCCTTCAGAATAATGAATATTTCT